TTTAAAGCTTATTAAGGATGCAGTGCAAAACGTTGATGTTAGAAAAGCTAATCCTGCCATATCAAACGGATTTTCATTGCTGAATCAGAATTATGGATTTCAATTAAAGGATTTAACTTTCATAGTTTTGGATGATTCGTCAAAAAATTTGAGATTGATCAAAATTGACAAACATTTGAACGCGCTGGACGTTCATTCCTCGATTCAGGAATTGTTCCAACCCATTTCTGAGGAAAGCTGCAGTTTTCTGGGATACTTAAGAGCTTTATTGTCGCTGGCAAGTTTGACGGCTGTTGAGGACTTAACATCTGGAAGACGCGAAGACACGCCCATAGCTGTGGACAAGAGATATCACAAATCCTTCTCGTTGTGGCGAAAGAAGCACGAAACGGATCTGTCGTCTCGCAACTTTATTCTCAGTCCGCAACAACATCGTTTGCTGGCCGAAACACAAAAACTCACTTGTTCATTACTGGTCAACCGGGGACTGGAAAGACTGCGTTTTTACTGGCCAAGTGTGAACAAATGGCGTTGAAGGAAGATGTAGATTCAATTTTTATTGTTTTCAATGAGTCGGACAGAATTCTGCGACAATCTATTGACGCATACATTGAAAAACAGGCGAGTGAAGAGCTCAGAAGCAAACAAGAAGTCATCCAAAAATACGACAGAGAGATAGAACACATTCGAAAGGTCGGTCCGTTTTTCAGCGAATGCCGTCGGAGAGAACGAATAAATATGAAAAAGTCACATATGAAACCCCTGTTAAGAAAATTAAGACATCACACAAAAAAGATAAAATTGACAATCACAACAGACCTTCTTGCAATAAAAATTTTAGAAGTACAATACTATTCTAAACTAACTGCTTCTTTTCCCCAGCCGATCAAGGATAAAAAGAACACGATACTATAAAGCTAACAAATTAAAGCCAGATTTTAGCACTGATAAAAACGGTATTACCTAATAAATATAAAACCAAAAACAAAACAAAATTGAGAAAAGTGAAAAACGCGACTCTGATCCGACAGAGTATAGTAAATTAGCTCAAAAGTTTCTTAGAAATTAAAACACTTCATATGAAACGGTTAGGTAAAACAAGTTGTTCAAACAATATTTTTAATTGGTAAATTTTTAATTGCATCGGTTTCATCTACTAATGGCAAAACGCCGGAGTGATCTAAAATCTAAGCCACTCGACTTATTTCTGAAAAAATTTACATTTGTGCCATTTGATTGCAAAATTATAATTTTATAAAAATTTTGTAAGCTGTTTTTTATATTCGGAGCTGCTTTCTTTGGATGTGATTAAAATGTGATCAAGATAATCATTCTTAAAAGGTATTGTCCTAATAGTTGGATCCATTAGGCTTTAAAAGTCATTTGGCAGGTCGACAAGTCAATAAAATTTGATTCAGAAAATTAAGTTTGTTCCTGTGATATCGCCACCCACTATAATAATTTTACATTACTTACTGGTAAAATCATCAAACGAAAGTGGCTATTTGCATTTTTAAAATCCAGGTTAGAAAACCAAATATTTCCAACGCTACCGTTTGAAATTTCAGTCGCTGTGTTATCTACTAGCCGTGGATGCTAGGCATTTATTTTTTTTTGTTTTCAATATTTGTACGTTTAGGAATATCGAATCCAGAACCAACGTGATAAACCTGTGCTTTTTACGCTTAATGATAATTGGGCTAATGATTCTTGTCTTTGTCACAATTTTCCAGTTTTTTGATGCGTCCTTTGGACTTTTCTTTAGACATTAGCAAATTAATTTAGCTTTAATAAGACTAATAAAGGTTAAGCAACGCGTCTGCTTTTTAACTGCATTGGCTTTAATAATTGAAATATGTTTCTGTCAACTTATTTTAATTTTTTTTCTGACCTGCTGGAACAATTTTCTAAATTTCTTTAACACCAACACGAAATTTTTGTTTTTGGTTTTGGAGAAACAAAGTTTATAGACTCACTGGTCTTCTGGTATTGAGAAGAAAAAATTTTTTCTGCAAAATTTCTTTTCGCATTTTTGGTTTATTTTTGTTCCCGAAGTTGTTTTTAGTCGTAGAATCACAAGTTTGAAAAAATTGAGACCACTAATTTTTTTGTTTTTGGATGTTTAAAATAACTTGATTTTTTAATAAGGCCCACTTTCAGAAGCGTCTTTATTTGTTTTCCATCCTTAAAATACTTAAAAAGAAAACAGTACAAAAACGAAATAATAGCAGTTAATGTTTTGTCAGATTTCTGAGCTGGAGCTGGTTACGCCACAAAGTTGTATATTTAAACGGTCTCAAATTACATCCAAAAGATCCCAAGGATATTTGATGTCTGTTTTATCTACAATTTGACTGTTCACAAAATCAACAAATTTACGACAAGGCTTACATCGTTCGGCAAAACTACTCTTTAATTTACAAGATTTACAGATTGAACTTTGTACCGGTGGACGGCTAGGTGTCTTTTGGAGAACACGTCAACACAATTTGTTTAACTGTTAAATTCGTTTAATATTAGAGTTAGTTGGTTCTTGACGTTAAAATAATCAAAAAATTAAGTTAAAAAAATCCATGAAGTATAAAACTGTGTGTCATTTTGTATAATTTTTTATTCCATTTTGTCTATGAGCGCAAGATTTAGATTTTCCAAAGGAGGTAGTGTTTCAGTTATAGAGTTGCTTTGGATTTTGAAATTCTTCATTTTTTTGATGTGGTTTTTTTATACTTTTATCTTATCTCCCGGTTAGTCTCCATAGAGCTGTTTTGTGACTCTCTGTCACGCTTTTTTCTGTTAAACATTTTATGCCTTTCAAAAATAATATTTGTTTTTCTCGCAAAATTGGTTGGCAAATTCTGTGAAAGAAATCCGAAGGTAAACTTTTTTTATAAATCTTTGACCAAATCATTTTTTGTAAGCTTTTGACCCATGCGGGCGATAAAAAAGATCGCAGCTTATTGTATGCTTCTTGAAAGATCAACGTGTTGAAAAGTTTTATCTCTGTCTTAATTCAGATTCTTTTTTCTTCCTCGAATTTTTTTCGAGTAACGGACGTTTTGGATGCTGTCTTTTTATCGATGTCATCAGTGTTTCCTTTTGCATATACCGCTGAATTTAAAAAAATCACTTCAGGTTTTACAAGAAATTTGTGGTTCTACTGTGTGATTCTGCCAAATTGATCTATATCTCTCACGTTTGTTTGATTGCGCCAAAAAAAAATTTTATGTTAAAACTAAATCTACTTCTTGTTGATTATGGAATAAAAATTAAAGAGTGAAATTATCTCCTTAATTAAGTTCTTAGTTCTAAGCATGTCTTGTGTTCATAATTTTTTGTCTAGTTTCAACTCAATGGGAGAAAAATGCGTTTCAAATTTCAAGTTTTGTCCGGATAATTTAAATCAACACTGAGACCAAGTTAACATCCCCCCAAAGCCGTTGGGGGGGGGGGATTTTAACTTGGTTCTAAGTTAGAAAACTTTGGCCAATCAAAATCGAGCGTTTTACATGCAGCGCTTAGCAACTTTAGGGCGAAATAAATGCTGGGGTGGAAGATCTTAACTTGGTCTATCTGGGATAGGATGTTAACTTGATCCCAACACTGTTCCAACTTGATTTTGTCCACACGTTTTTCATTCTTATATTTCATCGGAGTGCAGCCAGTATTTAGACAGCCGCGTATTCATACTGGTCAGTATTTAGACAAATACTGTATGAACCAATCAGAATCGAGAAAAGACATAAATAATCCAAAATAAATAATAATTATTTATTAATTTCTTCTTTGTCTCGATTCTGATTGGTTGAAACAGTATTTGTCTAAATACTGACCTGTCTGAATACGCGGTTGTCTAAATACTGATATGTAACCCATTTTATCACATACATCAGTATTACGAGTTTTAAAATACAGTTCAGGCGGCTTAGCTATTTTGCTGCAGAATATAAATGCTTAAAACAAATAAAATAGAAGCTTGAGTTCGGCCATTATGTGCTTTTTAGGGAAACGCGTTTCAAATTTCAAGTTATATTCCTTTTGTCCGGATACATGAGAAATAAATATGAAGTATATGTGGCATATGGTGGCCAGTCAATAAGCAGAATGGTCTAAGAGCAGAATGGGTCCAAGAACAGAAAAACAAAAAAAATATCAACTTTTACAAGCTAATCGGTAAATTGATTATCAGAAATGTCAATATTACCAACGCAACGAACATTTTATGCACAATTTGAGCAATTTAATAAAGAATTTTTTTAAAAAAATTAATCAAAAAACTTAATGAAATTAGGCAATTCATGCATAATTTATTCATTTTCTTGCTACTTTTTGACAATTCTATTAATTGTTTTATCAAATAGCCCGTATAAACCAATATAAGTCTCAATTTTTCTGTTTTTCTGCTCTTGGACCCATTCTGCACTTGGACCATTCTGTTTATTGCTCCGCCTCCGTGGCATATCTTTGTGGCATGTCTTTGAGTGTGGCATATCTTTGAAATTGTGTTGCAATAACAACATACAGGCGCTTTTTGTCAAACTCATTGTATTTGGTTGGTATTAAGAATTGATGTATCAGCCAAGAGATTTCTACTCACAGAAATTAAATGTTTCATTTGCATTCTCCCGTCAGGTATTTACTCCGAATATATATTGATTAGTTTCGATTACCTCACCCTTTTCTACTAACTTTACAGGAAATAATTTAAATTTCATCGCTGAAAACAAGGCTTTCTTTTTATGCATATAACATTTAAACTTTGACTAGTGTTTCATTTACCTCATCATGGATGCCATGGACCAACAAAGCGAAATATATAGCCCACTTCGATCAACACTTAAAGTGGTTCCCAGTCCGCCTCAGACAGTCGAACAATTTAACCCCCTCACGAAAACAGTTCTAAGCCACAGTAAAATCATTTGGAAGTTTCTCGACGCAAACTTAAAAGGACTTTTTGTTCGAGGCCAGCCCGATATTTATTTTTGTTCGAGCCCAGCTACGAATGTGGAGAAATCAAAACTCAGCTACGGATGTTTGTTTATTCCAGCGCCTGAATTAAAAAACATAATTCTTCTGAAAACGGTTAGCAGTTTCAGCCATGATGATGCAGCTTTAAATATCACCTCTTCAATCGTCAACCAGCTTGACCTGCTAGCTGGTAAACTGCAGTCCAATTGGAAAACTTCGGAGCCTAAAAATATAATCAAAGTTGACTTGTTAATGTGTCTGCCCAAAGATAAAAAAAGCGGCGATAAAAACAATGCTTTTAAGCACGTTTTGTCAAATGAGCTGAAATGTGCGCATTATTATCAGAATTTCTTCAAAATTGAAACAACGTTCGGCAATGAATCAAATATGATTGCAAAAGTTGAAAATCTGAGCAATACCAAAATCAGAAATGGAAGCGAAATGAATTGTTTAATTGATTTATTCTTGACGCTAAATACCCATTATGAAGTAATTTACACTTTAACAGACGAAAACTTTAGAAATCTCAGTTTTGAAAGCTGTTCATTTGAAAACGTCGAAAGAGTGAAATATTTATTTGACTTTTACTTTCCAGAGTGTGGTGAAAAACTGATTACAGTTCCGGATATTAACCGAATCTTTGACAACATCCTGTACCACACAAACAGTGAAGGCCGTCTGGGACACCTAAGCGAATACGCCACATATTACGGAGAGGTGAAACTTTTCGTGGAGCTTTTGTTGTCAAAACTGGAAAACCCTGCTGGAATTTTGCTGAAAGGGTTCACTCAGAACCATTTCGCTTCTTTACTGAGTTCCTCGTCTATTGAAATTTCAGCCTTTGAAATTGATTGGCTGTACCTGACCGACAATGTGGTCATGCCGATCGAAGTTGGCCTCTCTGATAACCCCCAAAAACCTGTTCAAGCAATCGTGAACAAAATCACCCAATGTCTGATCAAAATTATTCCCCAGTTCCAATTAATTTTCTACTCGTATTTGACAAAGTTTAACCAAATAAACGAGGATGAGTCATCAAGAACATTTTCTGAAGTTATTCAAAACTTTCTCAAAATTGTCGTTTTCCTTCCGAATGTGTCATTTTTTGCGTTCTGTGTCGCTTTAAAGCTTATTAAGGATGCAGTGCAAAACGTTGTTAGAAAAGCTAATCCTGCCATATCAAACGGATTTTCATTGCTGATTCAGAATTATGGATTTCAATTAAAGGATTTAACTTTCATAGTTTTGGATGATTCGTCAAAAAATTTGAGATTGATCAAAATTGACAAACATTTGAACGTGCTGGACGTTCATTATTCGATTCACGAATTGTTCCAACCTATTTCTGAGGAAAGCTGCAGTTTTCTGGGATACTTAAGAGCTTTATTGTCGCTGGCAAGTTTGACGGCTGTTGAAGACTTAACATCTGGAAGACGCGAAGACACGCCCATAGATGTGGACGAGAGATATCGCAAATTTTTCTCGTTGTGGCGAAAGAAGCACGAAACGGATCTGTCGTCTCGCAACTTTATTCTCAGTCCGCAACAACATCGTTTGCTGGCCGAAACACAAAAAACTCACTTGTTCATTACTGGTCAACCGGGGACTGGAAAGACTGCGCTTTTACTGGCCAAGTGTGAACAAATGGCGTTGAAGGAAGATGTAGATTCAGTTTTTATTGTTTTCAATGAGTCGGACAGTATTCTGCGACGATCTATTGACGCATACATTGAAACACAGGCGAGTGAAGAGCTCAGAAGCAAAAAAGAAGTCATCCAAAGATACGAAAGAGAGATAGAACACATTCGAAAGGTCGGTCCGTTTTTCGGCGAATGCGGTCGGAGAGAACGAATAAACATGAAAAAGTCACATTAAAGACCATGAAAAACCTGTTAAGAAAAGTTAGACATCACAAAAAAGATAAAAGTGAAAATCACAACAGACCTTCTAGCAATAAAAATTTTAAAAGTACAATACTATTCTAAACAAACTGCTTCTTTTCCCCAGCCGATGAAGGATAAAAATAACACGATACTATAAAAGCTAACAAAATAAAGCCAGTTTTTAGCACTGATAGAAACGGTATTACCTGATAAATATATAACCAAAAGCAAAACAAAATTGAGTAAAGTGAAAAAAGTGACTCTGATCCGACAGAGTATAGTAAATTAGCTCAAAAGTTTCTTAGAAATTAAAACACTTCATATGAAATGGTTAGGTAAAACAAGTTGTTCAAACAATATTTTTAATTGGTAAATTTTTAATTGCATCGGTTTCATCTACTAATGGCAAAACGCCGGAGTGATCTAAAATCTAAGCCACTACTCGACTTGTTTCAGGAAAAAGTTACATTTGTGCCATTTGACTGCAAAATTATAATTTTATAAAAATTTTGTAAGCCGTTTTTTATGTTCGGAGCTGCTTTCTTTGGATGCGATTAAAATGTCATCAAGGTAATCATTCTTAAAATGTATCGTCCTAATAGTTGGATTCATTACGCTTCAAAAATCATTTGGCAGGTTGACAAGTCAATAAAATCTGATTCAGAAAATTAAGTTTGTTCCTGTGATATCGCCATCCACTATAATAATTTTACATTACCTACTGGTAAAATCGTCAAACGAAAGTGGCTATTTCCTTTTTTAAAATCCAGGTTAGAAAACCAAATGTTTCCAACGCTACCGTTTGAAATTTCAGTCGCTGTGATATCTACTAGCTCGTGGATGCTAAGCTTTTAGTTTTTTTTTGTTTTCAATATTTGTACGTTTAGGAATATCGAATCCAGAACGAACGTGATAAACCTGTCCTTTTTACGCTTAATGATAATTTGGCTAATAATTCTGTCTTTGTCACAACTTTCCAATTTTTCGATGCGTTCTTTGGACTTTACTTCAGACACTAGCAAATTAATTTAGGTTTAATAAGACTAATAAATGTTAAGCAAAGCGTCTGCTTTTTAACTGCATTGGCTTTAATAATTGAAATAAATTTCTTTCAACTTGTTTTAATTTTTTTTGACCTGCTGGAACAATTTTCTAAATTTCTTTAACACCAACTCGAAATTTTGTTCTTTGGTTTTGGAGAAACAAAGTTTATAGACTCGCTGGTCTTCTGGTATTGAGAAGAGGAAATTGTTTCTGCAAAATTTCTTTTCACATTTTTGGTTTATTTTTGTTCCCGAAGTTGAAGTTGTTTTTAGTCGTAGAACCACCAGTTTAAGAAAACTGAGACCACTAATTTTTTTGTCTTTCGATGTTTAAAATAACTTGATTTTTTAATGAGGCGTACTTTCAGAAACGTCTTTATTTTCCATCGTTAACATAACTTAGAGTTAATACAGAACAAAAACGGAATCATAGTAATTATTGTTTTGTACAATTTCTGAGCATGAGCTGGTTACGCCACAAAGTTGTATATTTAAACGATCTCAAATTACATCCAAATGATCCCAAGGATATTTGATGTCTATTTTATTTACAATTTGACTATTCACAAAATCAACAATTTTACGACAAGGTTTTCATCGTTCGGCCAAACTACTCTTTAATTTACAAGATTTACAGATGGAACTTTGTGCCGGTGGACGGCTAGGTGTCATTTGAAGAACACGTCAACACTATTTAATTACTGTTAAATTCGTTTAATATTAGAATTAGTTGGTTCTTGACGTTTAAATAATCAAAAAATTAAGTACAAAAATCCATGAAATATAAAACTGTGTGCCCTTTTCATATAATTTTTTAATTCCATTTTGTCTATGAGCGCAAGATTTAGATTTTCCAAAGGAGGTTGTGTTTCAGTTATAGAGTTTATTTGGATTTTGAAGTTCTTCATTTTATTGATGGAGGTTTTTTTATCCATCCTTTTATCTTATCCCCCGGTTTTGTCCCTTTTTTCGCCATTTTGGCAAAATCTTCATAGAGCTGTTTTTTCAGTTAAAACTTTTATGCTTTTCAAAAAAATATATTTGTTTTTCTCGCAAATTTGGTTGGCAAATTCTTTGAATGAAATCCGAAGGTAAACTTTTTTCATAAATTTTTGACCATATCATTTTTTGTAAGCTTTTGACTCATGCGGGCTATAAAAATGATTGCAGCTTCTTGTATGCTATGCTTCTTGAAAGTTCAACGTGTTGAAAAGTTTTCTCTCTGTCTTAATTGAGATCCTTTTTTCTTCCTCGATTTTTTTTTCGAGTAACGGACGTTTTGGATGCTGTCTTTCTATCGATATCAATGTTTCCTTTCACATATACCGCTAAATAAAAAAAATCACTTCAGGCTTTACAAGAAATTGGTGGTTCTACTGTGTGATTCTGCCAAAGTTGATCTATATTTCTCACGTTTGTTTGATTGCGCCAAAATAAAAATATTTTTTTTTGTAAAAGCTAAATCTACTTCTTGTTGATAATAGAATAAAAATTAAAGAGTGAAATTATCTCAAAGTTAAAACCTTAATAATTGAGAGAGACATTCTCTCCATAAGAGAGAGTGAATGAATCAAGATCAAATATGAAAAAACTGTAACGCAAATAAGACATTGGTACTGTTTTCTTTTGATACAACATATGTTTGTAGAAATCTGCGTTTTGGCTCATCTTGGATCCTAAAAAATAACACCAAAGTTTTGATTCAATTTTTTAAACTTAATTAAATTTGAAAAGTCAGAAAGTATTTTCAATTTTAAAAATCAAGCTTTAAGATAGACTGCAAAAAGTAGAAATTTACGACAACTAAAACATCAGTTTTTTAGCTCGACTGTTAAAACGACAGAAAAGCTGTCTGTCAAAAGCTATTTTCAAATTTGTTACTTGGAAAAATCTCGCTTCATCTTCAAAATTTAAACAAAAATGGGTTTCTGCTGACCTGTTTTGATACATGGATTTGTTTTTTGTCCTTCGAAAATCAAAATGCTTTTTAAAATTTTTTTGTTGCTGTTCTGGAATCTTCATAAACATTTTAGTCAGATTATTCTGAGCTATTATCACAGTATCGGGCTGTATTATCACTGTTTTGGTAGAGCTCGCAAATACATTTGCTCAAATAAGATATGTTGATAAAGTTCCATAGTAAAATTTACTGGATATTCTAGATTGGCCGGTGGCTTGAATTGAATTTGATGAGCACTCTTTTGAGAGTTGTATCGTTTCAGAGCAGCAAGTTTACGACTGAAGAGCGGACTGTCGTTGTTATAGATGAACTGTACGACAACAGAAACATAGTTGATGACTTTCTCAACTTCAAGTGCTGCTGGGTTGCTGCCGTGGAAGCTGGACAGGTAGAAAACTTCATACCGAAAACCGCCTGAACATCCCCCCCGCAATTCTGATAGCTTGCGTTTAAAAAAGAACATACGGCACAATTTTATACCTTTTAATTGACTATGACAAGACAACATAGTAGCAGAGTGCATGCAAACTCAAAGTTTCGAATCTGTTGATTTTTGTTTAGAATAGAACGTTGCAAAAAGTTGAAACTGATAAAGTGAAGTAAAAAGAACAGTCTGCTGCCAATTGTCATGGGAAAAAATATCCGGAAGAAGCATTTTTCTCTTTTACCTAATATTTTATGTTCCAAATTTTTCCAATCGAGCCCATATATCGCATCAGACTTGAGATTAAAGAACATCGTCATCAAAAACGAAAAAAAAAAGGTTTTTAAGTTTTTCATCAGGACATTTAATGCGCAAGTGAGTCATTAAGGTTCAAACAGTCACAGCACGCAATCAATGTTTTACTTTTCGCTTAATAGATGGTGGGTACCGCCGGCTCTCTCCTCGGTTCTGATCCATTCTGGTTGGCTGAGAGAGGGGGAAAGCAAGTGTTCGAGCATGAGAACCTCAACATTCTCTTTCGCAGCTCACATCACATCAGCTCAGTCTCAAACTGCTTCATCGAGCGACAATTGCAGACGTTTCCAGCCTCTGTTCGCATTCCTGGCTGCTTCTCATCCTCAGAAAACCACACCAAAATTAAGTATTTCATCGATTGGAACGATCCCGCGTTGTGTGACATCTCCTTTTTGTCAGAAGCAATGACAAGAAGGTTTTTGTTTATAATAACGGACCAAAGTGATATTGCATCACGAGTCGAGATGTTAGTGTCCGCTTGGAATCCTACAGACTATTTCGTAATCGATGACTTTGAAGAAGGAGAAAACTACAGTTTTTCGGGTTCTGATTTTTTTTCGGTTTTGGCGGTTATTGATTTGCAAGATTTCAAATACGAGTACTTATATGATATCAACATGGCAGTCACTCGCGGACAGTATGAACTGGGGTTTTTACTAAATAGCGCTCTAAGAAACAACCTTGATTTGATGAATTACATCACAAAATATAAAACCAGTTACGCGCAAGCTTTCGAAGATTTTATCGAAGGGCGAGTTTTAACTTCGGATTGGCTAATTCCAACAGATCTGGACAGGTTCCAGTTTATCTGGTGGCAAAGGAAAATTGAAGAATCACCATCTGAAGACAGAAAAAGATATCACGAGCTGTTCAAAAACCAGAGTCCAGAAATCTGTCTTCAGATGGCAATAGCGTTTCCCGGAGAAAATGGTTTCGCAGATTCAGTCGATGCTGTTCTTCAAAGCGCACATAACGCATGTTCTTCAGGTTAGTTAACGAAGATTTTGAAAGCGCTAGTTTTTTGTTCAGTTAAATTTTGATTTTTTTGCATCATCTGGAAGCAATTTATACTTTGAGCTCAAAACTGAAAAGGCTTTTTTTGTTTGCGACAGCTTATGAAAATAATAGGGATTTGAAAATTGCCAACTTATACATTTCTTAATTAAAAACTATTTGATGTGCAAAGAATGGTTGTTAAAAATACAGTGGAATGCACTGACACTACTAGTGTTGGTCAAATTAATGTTAAATCTATGTAGTAAATGAGCGCAGAGAGTATCGATTTTCACTAATTCTTTGGCAGTTTCGTGAAGAAAAAACCGCGCTTGTGATTTCATAGCTAGCTCTGTTTGACAATTTTGTTTATCATCGAAATTTTTTTGATATCCTAATTTGAAAAGATATTGTCGCTGTGATAGTCATTTTTTTGCCAAGTTATGAAAGCTTTGATGCTATTTGCTCATTTTGATCCAACTTAGGGCTAGGGTGAGGCAACGGCAATTTTACTCAGACTAAAAAAAAACAGACGAATTTTACGTGAATCATAACCGAAGGAATAACCGCAATTCTCAGTAACAGCTGAACAAGTCCTGTGTAGGTCCTTTTCTTCGTAGATATAATGTTTTATTTAACTCAATTGACATCATTAAGGCGAGAAACAGCAATAAAATTGCCAGAAAAAAGTACAATTCTAATCTAATAAAATTACCAGAAATAAACTGCTTTTGCTTCTTGAATCGCTAATTCAAAAAAATGTCGAATCAACATTTCAAGAAACTTACAACCCGGGTTGACCAAAAATGCTTTTCCTATAAAATCCCATATAAAGAAAAATGGTTATCATACACTTCGTACAATTTCATAGAAACTTATAAGAAAACTAATATATGAAAATTTTCTGTTAAGCCTTTTTCCATAATGGAAATTTCAGGACAAACATTTTTTGAAAACTCAAACGAGGCACAATTAGCGTTTAGGCCTACCACATAAGACGTGCAATCTCTGAACAAAGAAGAAAACCTGAGAAAAATACGAGAGTTTACGAGGTTGGAACCTGAAACCCTTCATTATCTGCAGGCAAATCTCCTCAACTCTTCAGATTTCCTAGAAAAACCAAAACCATGCGGGAGAAGTTGCCTCAAATGTCAAAAAATCTGTTTATCTGATGGGCACCTTCTCCAAGAATACATCTTCCAGCTCCGCAGCGCATCGTGATCATCCACAATTTCCTGCAAGTTCTGTCATCAAAACAATTTCATTTCCTAGAAAAACAAAGTTATACACAAGCAAGTAAAAACAAATCATGCAACACTTATGTCACTAATTTATAATAATACGATTTTTGATCAAAATTCAGAACTTCTAAGCGAATGCAAAAAATCTACTTTCAAGGCCACCACCGGAATCATATATCAGTTAACCAGTTCAGAAGTCAGCCAGGCGACAGTGCTCAGAAGCACAATGCTGCACTGACTTACAATGCAAGACGGCAGTAATGTGCTTCTCGGCGCCATCGACTGGCTGACTTCCGAACAGGTCTTTTCAGACACGAGTCTTATGGTGGTCTTCAAAATCAATTTCAACCAGTTGGAATCCAATTTTAATTTTCAATCTTACAAATTTCAACTTGGCTAATAAATTGGCTTTGAAAGCAAACATCATTTTTTTCTTTTGCTAGACAACAAATGGTTTCAATTTAAGAATTTAAGGTTTTTTGATGGCTCTCAAGTTTGTTCTAATTGCAAACAAACTGTCAAAAGTGCTAGTCACAAACTTTTTTAAAGCTATTGTTTGTCTTATTTACGCATATTTTATGAATTGCATTAGAAATGATTGATTTTGAGACTGAAGATACAAAGTTGGCCATTTTTTTAAAAATATTTTGGGCCTTATGCACTAAACGGTCCAATGTCAACTAAAGGTCCAATATTTCTACATATTTCATGAACTCAAAATAAATTGTATGGCTCTAAGTGACTAATGAGACAGCATGGTCCGGCATTTCAATTAAAATTTTAAACAGATGAAATTGTTGGCCGAAATAGCCACAATTATAAAATTTTAATCTGCTGAGGCCATTTTTTGAGGTTCGACTGTATAAGTGTTAACTCAAAATCTACAAATTTTGAAATTGGGCCATTTTGTGCATAAGACCCTTGTTTACAGAAAAACTGATTACCAGGCCAAACTGTCAAGGACGCTGTCTTTATTCTTCTTTTGTTCTTTTATTTTTTTTTGTTCGTTCCGACAAAACTTTAACGTACCTAAAGGCTTCTCTGGAATCCAGAAATACACACACACAAAGTTGTGCGCCTATCCTGTGCACAGTTTGGCCTGGTAATGCTGTTGCCGTGTTGCCCGAAAAAAATTCTTTGAAACAATTACTATTGTATTATTATGACTTTTCATGGCTTTTGACTGCATTTGATTTTTTGTGACTGGCTTTTTCGTAGGCTTTTGATGGCTCTCAAGTTTGTTCTAATTGCCAACAAACTGTCAAAAGTGCTAGTCACAAACTTTTTTAAAGCTATTGTTTGTCTTATTTACGCATATTTTATGAATTGCATTAGAAATGATTGATTTTGAGACTGAAGATACAAAGTTGGCCATTTTTTTAAAAATATTTTGGGCCTTATGCACTAAACGGTCCAATGTCAACTAAAGGTCCAATATTTCTACATATTTCATGAACTCAAAATAAATTGTTTGGTTCTAAGTGGCTAATGAGACAGCATGGTCCGGCATTTCAATTAAAATTTTAAACAGATGAAATTGTTGGCCGAAATAGCCACAATTATAAAATTTTAATCTGCTGAGGCCATTTTTTGAGGTTCGACTGTATAAGTGTTAACTCAAAATCTACAAATTTTGAAATTGGGCCATTTTGTGCATAAGACCCTTGTTTACAGAAAAACTGATTACCAGGCCAGACTGTCAAGGACGCTGTCTTTATTCTTCTTTTGTTCTTTTATTTTTTTTGTTCGTTCCGACAAAACTTTAACGTACCTAAAGGCTTCTCTGGAATCCAGAAATACACACACACAAAGTTGTGCGCCTATCCTGTGCACAGTTTGGCCTGGTAATGCTGTTGCCGTGTTGCCCGAAAAAAATTCTTTGAAACAATTACTATTGTATTATTATGACTTTTCATGGCTTTTGACTGCATTTGATTTTTTGTGACTGGCTTTTTCGTAGTATAAAGGTCAACTTGGTTAGCAACTCACTACTTTCGCTATATTCAACTATTTGCGGTCTAGCCAAATTGAAGCTTTGCGAAACGTTTTTTGCTTGATTATTTTAAATTATTAATTTGTTTTAGCCAATTTTTCTGCATCCAAAAGCTACTAAATTTTGCTAATAAATCGTCTTATTTTATATTATATACAACTGCTATTTACAATGCAGACAACCTGAAAGTTTCGAAACAAAGCAAAAAAAAGTGTCAAATACAATACTGCACCAAAAAATCTTTTATAATATGTCAGATAAAAAAGAGGCGTTTTTCGAATTTTGAGCAAAAAAACTTCTAGCCTTTTTGCATTTTTGTTTGAACGTTGCGAGTTTCCTGATAATAGTAAAACTAGTGTTGATAGTTTTAACAGTAAAGCTTCAATTATTTTGCATGTTATCAATCAAGTAAATCAACAGATCCTCATAGTTTTTCAACTACAAAATTACTCGTAAGAATCATTAACTGTTTTTTTTAAAAACTTTTTTGTATCAAACTGTATACTTTGAAGACCCAAAAAGACTGGTTTTGCCCATGTTACTTTGTGTGCAAGACATACCCAAGTATAGCCGGTTGCTGCTCAAGTAGCAGAGAATGTTGTGACCATATTTAAAAAAAGATTATTTGTTTCTTCTGGTTTTTAAATTAGTGTCGTTCGACAGTAACAGGAGAATGGGTAAATTGGGTCTTAGTTTGGTCTAAAATTGACAAAAAAAAACAGAAAAATTGAAGCAAAAAAAAATTCAATTGTTTTTCAAACATTTTTTGAACTTAAACTTCAGTAGTTTTTTTATTCCTAAGACGGCGCTGAAAAATATTTCAAAAAAAGTTACTGGATTAAAACTTAAACGTCACGGCTTGTCTAAAAAACGTCTGCTAGCTTGATTTACTGTCAAAAGTTTTATTGTCAATCAAATCAGCGCTGAAAAAGCTCTTTTACGACGTATTGTTGTTGCCATTCCGACAATTAGTTGTGATAAATTATCTTGAATGAAAAACGAAATTAGCCTTCTGGCTCGCTTTTCTCAATGAAAATTTGACAAAAAAAACAAATAAACTTTTGAAACCTGTGTTTGTCAAAACTGGTACAACTTTTTGAATTTTGGTTAATTTTGTTCTAGTCTCGACTGAAAGAACTTTAATATCATATATCACTTGACCCATTCCATTGAGTTTTTGTGGTACCTGAATTTTTGTGGAAAACAAAAAATGAATCACACAGAAAAACAAATTTCCTCCCCATTTTTTCAAATAGTCCTAGCAACAAACAGTTGAAATAAAAAACATAATTTTTTGAAGTACCTGGCTATAGGAATGATGTGGAAAAAAAACCCATTTTGAAATCAATTTGTAAACCAAAATTCTAAGCGAGTGAGTCCTCAGTATACTCTTAGCCATTGAATGGCTTCCGTTGAGAAATTGTTTTACAAAGAGGCACGATTCTTGAAATTTAGCAATTTACTCACCTTACAAGTCCGAGTTTCTAAGTTCACCGGGTTTTAAGCCTTTCTATTACCTAATAAGATCCGCAGTAGTTAGAGCATTTTGTCAGTTACCATTCATGGCAACTTCATGGAATCTCATTTTCCACAAACAGCTTTCAACAGTATTTGGGGGGTCTCGTAGAACACAATCAACCACTCCTGGTCTCCCTCCACTAACGCAGTAGGGTTGTGAACAACAGTCGTCTTTATCCGAAGACCTGTGAGACATCTATTGACACTAGATTGGAACTTACCCGAAAGGGGAAAGTGCAATGCAAAACTGTCGAGTGGCCCCCAAGGTTTACGCCTTTAAGCACTAGGCAATGCATCGTGTGACGTTGGCAGACATGGCCTCGATCAAGCTGCTGGTGACATATGGACCAAATCAATTAATGCATCGCGCTGAGAATGGAAAGTACAAACCAGCCCACGTCGCTGGGATCCACCGGGTAGATCCGATTAATGTGGACCTCACCGCAAAGGATTACACCACAAGCCATACTGAAAGATTTTGAATAAAGATTTTAAATAAATTTTTAAAATAATTGTATCAAATAACTGTAGGCAATCGTGTTCTCTTAGTCTGGAAAACTTAACTAACAAATCTGTCATAACGAACGTTTTGTATTTCATTGAAAAGTACTCAAGTCTTGCAACTATTTTTACAATTAGTCCAATTTCACAGTAAAAAAGCAATAAAACCTTATTACAAAACATTATGCTGTAAAAGACTTCAAACAAATATTTTGTACATAAATTTAGCTAAGTTACACAATTGTACAGCCTTTTTATTCCCCCTCAACTTTATTTTTCGACGATATTAAGGCACGATTTCTCCAAGGGCCTTATGGGCCGTGATTTCCATCTTCTGGGATTTTGATATCGTTTTTTTATTAATATTCAAGAAATATTTTTTTCAGTGGATTCTGTCAATCAAAACATATTGCTTTTGAAACATATTATGTTTTAGATGAAAGTTTGGACTCAAAATTCGATTGGGTTTGCAAACTAGGAGAAAGGGTTCTGCGTGACGATAAAAGCAATTCTCTAAGTGCTGGCAGCTTGCATTTGCTCTACTTGTCAATCTGTTCTGGGAACGTTGACGCATTTAAATCAGTCATAACTTTCTTGGAAAAACACAATATTCTGGGAAATGAACTGAAGCATCTTTTACCGAATGCTTCAATTTTGGATGTTGCGCTGCGAGAGCTTGATGAACAGGAAGATAAATTAGCTTACAACAGGGCTGCCTCTTTTTTACATAAATTTAATTTTGAACAACGGCAACAGTGCATTTGGAATTACTTTTTATAGAGAAAAAAACATATAAATTTGTCATATTGAAATAATCCTTACAGATACTTTACTAAAGAAGTCGCAACCTATAAAATTTGAGCAGCCACGTTTAATGAGTGTTTGAACTTTTTTTAATTTGAACAAACGATTTCTTCATTGCGAATTTTAGTTTAAATTAGGAGTCACTGATGAAACTGAATTGAATAGATCTGAAACTGGAGCTGTTCAAGTATTAATTGAATAGGCTGGCTGTAGAAAAAACACGGGGTAAGGAAGGGCAGCAGCTGTTTACGATAGAGTCGAAACTGCCAAATGTCTGTTTGCAATCAACATTCCTTCTGAGCTCGTCTGGCATAAGTTTGATGGCCAAAATATATTCGAATTTGCGTTTGACAATTATCACTCCAAATCAGAGAAGTTTGATTTTCTTCGGATTTTATTCTCAGATGTGAGTAGATGCGATTTATTTTTCACCCAATTCGTTGGCTACCAGTGCGATCTTGCTCAAGATTTGAAATCTGATGCCTACGAAAGATGGGCGAAAACAGGAAAGCATCGAAGCTTTCTCCAAGTCGCTTGTGCCGTGGAGCCAGCCTCATTCGAGCGGGTCTCGTGGGCGGTTGCAATTCTGAGGCGATACGATGGCTTACTGGAGACTGAACTGGGACTCATCATCAGGACCCACACTGTTCTTACTAGACTTTTCTTGGGGTCAACCGATTCACACAAAAGCGCAATTAAACGGAAAGTTTTTGTAAACAACACAGCTATTTGATAAATTTGAGATGACAAACAACCCTTCTACAAGCTCAAAACCAAAATTTTCAAGTACGCAAACCTTGTGTTGTTCGAAAAAAATGTATTTCAATTTATAATAATTAAAAGGAAACTAATACTATTGCAAAAAATTGTTTGATTGCACTTTTGTTTGCTGTGTTTTGGTCCCCAAACTATGGGAAAAGAGACAGTAACTCGATGCTATTTTGTTTAAGGCCATCAAATACTGTCAAATAAGGTGAATTCTTAGTTCTCATTTTTTGCACACTTTGCGTTTTGTCGATTTCGTTTTACTTTCATGAAAAAGCTGGGTACCAAATAAATCAATAAAAAACAAAAAAATGCTTAAATTTTCATCGCGACCAAAAAAATTGATAAGGTTTTAATAACTTAAAAAAGAAATAAGGTTTTTTCTTGTTTTACTATATCTCCCCAACCAACGCCTGTTTTTTTGATTTAATACACCATGAATCATTGTTATAACAAATTTGCGTCTGAAAACCAAATATGTTTCAAACTGGGTAAATACCTTGCTTGCAAAATTTTCAAATGACCAAGGAACTGTGAACTTAGGTGTCATTTAATGAAATTACAAGTGGGGGCAAAACAGATGCGCTCCTCGACGTACCTGTATTTTAATACTGCTGTTGAATTACGCAAAGTCATGGTCATTGCTTAACGAAAATCGTCAGAAAAATTCTACTATAAGCTCAAAATTGCATCGAATTAAGAAATACACGACGAAGAGTTGGCTAAATCTCTGAGCCTGCTGTTGGCTTGTAGTCAAATTCCAGACAGTGTTCTGATGCAAACAACTGACGTTAATTTGGACGATTTCTTCAAGGCCAGAGAAGGCGCGGACTTCAAAAACATCATGGATATTGCAATCAAGCATGAACTGAAGATGTGTACTGCAGTTCTTCTCGCGGACGATAAAAGAAAAAATTTGTTCTTTAGCAGCGAGAAAGGAACTTATTATCAGAACTACTGGCACTCCCAATTACAAAATCTCAATTCCTGATAAAAATGAACTTTGAAAAGACATACAAATTATTCCTTTTTGAGATAAGTCCTAGGGGATAAGTCACGGAGTAGTTTTTGATGATAGCACACTGTCTAATTTTCACCTTTGATTGATCAACTAAGAGAGTTTAACTTAAGAAGTCTAAATTTAATGATGAATAGCGATTTAGTCTTATTTATACAATAAGAGGTGCTAAATACATCTCAATTTGTTTTACTTATTGTGTGCGTGTGTGTGTGTGAAAGGGCGGGGGGGGGGGGGGGGGGGGGTAAAAGAAGGGTAAAATGGAGGAAAAAAAAACATTCAATTTTTCCAGGGGCGGATTTAGGGGAGGCGGGGGGGGGGGGGGGCGGACGCTTTTTCTTAGTGATTCGACCACCTGCCGACCCAAAGGGTCCCCCCTTTGTACTATTTTGAACTATCCATTTTTGGCTAACGGACCCTAAAATTTTTCTAAAGGCGTCTTCGGCGCCAATATATATTCATTTTATAGGGGGAGCGCGCGCCAAAAAAACGCGATCTTTTGGTCAAAATTTTCAAAAAAGTGCCTAAAAACGCTTTTTTGGCCTGTTTTTCAAATTTTGACTGCGGCGCAGAAAACTTTGTCAAAAGTGGGTCTTTTTGGTGACTTAGGAGAGCTCAGAAAATCAATTTGATCGACCTAAAAAAAAGGTCGGCAAAATTTTCGAAAATTTACGGTCTCCAATTCGATCCTAAAAAACACTAAAATCTTTGAAATTTTTTCGTCTTACCATACCAATGTAAAAAAAAACTGAATAATAAGTTAAGCCAGCATCGGGTTTATAGGAGAGGGGGAAATCGGGAAGAGGCGGACGTTCTCCCCCTACCTCAGAAATTCGATCCTCTGCCGACCCAAAATGTCCCCTTTTGTTTTTTTTCGAAATATCCATTTTTGGTTGACAGACCCTAAAAGTTTTCAAAAATTTACACTCGGCTTCAAAACATACTACGTTTAAGGGGAAGCGCAAGCCAAAAAACTCATTTTTTTGGACAAAATTTTTCAAAAAGTGCCTAAAAATGCTTTTTTGGTATGTTATTTCAAAAAATTGGTCTTTTTAGCGACTTAGAAGAGCTCAGACGATCAGTTTGGTCAATCTACAACAAAATCGATAAAAAGCTTCGAATTTTTTTGAACCCCTCCCCCCTCAAGAAACTCATAGATCCTCCCTGAATGAAGTGAAGCTGTTATTGAAAGCAGTTCCCTGTCAGTGTTTTCATATGGACGTTCTGTTCGTTTATCTTACGCCGCCGTAATTTTTAACACTTGAGTTTCAAATAGGTCTAATTTGAAGTTCATATTTTAAGTTTTAAGATATCTATGTTTAAATATCTACCAGCAAAATTGGTTGCGCCTTATTTAATTGCAAACCCAATGAAAATGGTTTTAGACTTAAAATTATCCCAGCAACTGCACCTATCGAAGGTTAATTCTTGTAAGCGGCATCAGATCAATGAAAAAACGCGAAATTTGTTTTGGTTTATAAAAACCTAACTTCAGTTCTTAAGAAAAACATCATCTATTGCTTTTATTCACATCTTTATTCAATAACCTATCTTCAATTTCGCATACTAGAGAAAAATAAGTTGTAAAAAAAATTCATTTACCGACTTCAGCACAACTGAATTTTCAGTTGAAAATTTACATCTTCATAAAGGAAACAATTGAAATTTGAAAATACAACTATACAAAATTACAACGAGAAATTTGCAAAAAATGTAGGCAAAGATTTCTTCTAAATTGAAAACTACGAATGCAAAGATTTCGGACAAAGTTGTAGCTATAGGAAGAACCACAAATCATAAATAGCAAATATTTTCAACAAGAGTTGCCAGTTGATTTGTAAGTAGAACAGTAAGTTCCGTACTCAGTATTTCTTTAAAAAAGAGTGAGATCTACTTCGTAACGATGATGTAGTTGGAGATCAACGCAATCTGAGAGTCATCAACTTCAAAATAGTTTTCAGCTGCTTATTCTTAATTGCGCGGTAGTTTGAGACATTTTGTTGTACGAACATGATCACAACCACCAGCGGATTTAGGAAGGGGGGCAGATGCCTTTCCTCCCCCCTCCCCCCCATCCCCCCCCCCCCTCGCTCCTCCCCTCCAGGCGTCTTGGGCGTCAAAACATACTAGTTTGAGGGGGGGGGGGGGAGTTCGGGCCAAAAAAACGCAAGTTTTGGTCAAACTTTTCCAAAAAGCGCCTAAAAACGCCTTTTTTGGCCTGTTTTTTTTTGAAAATTTAGTCCAAATGGGGTCTTTATAGTGATTTGGGAGAGCTCAAAAATTCAATTTAGTTGACCTAAAAAAAGGTCCACAAAATTTTTGAAATTTTCTTGAAAATCCGCACCCCCCTCGAGAAAATCCTAGATCCGCCCCCTGATCACAACGAAAGTCCTCTTAATTGATCTTAACATCACCCCTGCCTTCCAGTAAATTCTGGCTGATGTGTTATCGCAATGAATTAAGAGTTAATCTTGCTCGCGCGCATGTTTTTAGCAAAAAAAAATCCATATCAAAGTGAATAAGTTAGAAACATATTGACACTAGATTGGCACTTATCCGAACGGGGAAAGTACAAGGCAAAATTGTCGAACGGCCCCAAGGTTTACGATTGTTCAATAAAGCCCTCCAAGGTTTGCACTTGGGCGTTGAAACACTAGGCAATGCGACGTGCGACGTTGGCAGACATGGCCTCGATCGAGCTGCTGGTGAAAAATGGACCAAATCAAATTTTACATCGCACTAATTATATGAAGTACAAACCAGCCCAGCGTCCCAATAAGTCAACCATGTCGCCGGGATCCACAGGGTAGATCCGATTATTGCAGACTTCACCGCAAAAGTCTACACCACACTGGGAGAAGCTACTCTGAACGATTTTGAATAAGGATTTTTGTTGTATTTTTGAAATTAGTTGTATCAAATAACTGTAGGCAATCGTGTGGTCCTAACCTGAAAAATTAACTACCAAATTTGTTTAACAAACATTTTGTATTTTCACACCAGGCGATACAACTAAGACGTTTAAACTAAGCATCATGCTGTGAAAGACTTCAAGCAAACCATTATGCAGTAAAAGACTTCAAACATAAATTTAATTATTTACGTGATTGTACAGCTTTTTGATTGTCCCTCAACTTTAATTGTCGACGAATTCATTGAATTAGTTGGCTGTAGGAAAAACACGGGGTAAAAAGAAGGGCAGCAGTTGTTAACGATAGAGTCGAAACTACCAAATGTCTGTTAGTAGCCAATAATTCTTCTGAGCTCATCTTGCATAAGATTGATGGCCCAAAAATCATTCGAATTTGCATTTGACAAATCGGAGAAATTTGAGTTGCCTCGG